CCAGCGGCTCTGGGGAAGGTCCACTGGAGTGGGGACGTGATGTGGCCAGGCTGATGGGATGTCGTTGCGTGGGGAGCAGAATGGAGGGAAGAGAGACATGGCAGACACTTCTTAGTGGTTGTGGTGGGGGAGAGGGGGTCAGCAGCTGTGGACATGGCCCAGCGAAAGGCTGTAGGGCCAGTCACTTGGGGCGGGGACTGATGGCCTAAAGGGGGAGGTTATGAAATGGGAGGATGGCGCGGGGTGTGGTCCAGCGCGGGGGCGGGGCCACCTGGGTGGTCGAGTGGGAGGGGTCTGGCGTGGGGCGGGGCCATCGTGGGGGGTGGTGCTGGCCGGTGGGCGGGGCCTGACCTGACGCCCCGCCCCCCGCAGCACGCTGAGTGCGGAAGCGGGCCCAGAGTGTTACGAGCTGCAGGTGTGCGTCAAAGACTACTGCTTTGCGCGGGAGGACCGTACGGTGGGGCTGGCCGTGCTGCAGTTGCGTGAACTGGCCCAGCGCGGGAGCGCCGCCTGCTGGCTGCCCCTCGGCCGCCGCATCCACATGGACGACACGGGCCTCACGGTGCTGCGCATCCTGTCGCAACGCAGTAACGACGAGGTAGCCAAGGAGTTCGTCAAGCTCAAGTCGGACACGCGCTCCGCCGAGGAGGGTGGTGCCACGCCTGCGTCCTAGGCGGGGCGCGCGGGCGGGCAGCACTGCGCCTGCGCGAAGGGGCGGGGCGGCGCCTGCGTGCTGGGACCTTCCTGAGGGCGAGTCTGCGGGCTCCGCGCCGAGGACAGTGTGCGCCTGCGCCCTGGACTTAGCTTCCCACTGAGGAATTGTGAATGGACGATGCCCCGCCCCCTCGGGAGGCCACGCCCTAGAGCGCGGGGAAGGAAAAAGCCACATTCCCCCCCTTGCGGCCACGCCTGCCGCGCCTACGGGGCCAATGGAACTAGGAAGGGAGAACCCCGCCCCTTATGGAGGAGGCCTCGTCCCGGGCTCTGGTCCCCTGCCTCCTGTCCCAAGGAAAAGCCATAAGACGGGTCCCCAACCCCTGGGGCCCAAGACCAGTTGCCAAGTATGGAACTTTCGGCTCCCTCGAGGGGCGGGCCCGAGGCAAGGGGCAGGGCTTCCTGGAGCACCCGCTGGTGGTCTGGGGGCTGGAGGGACTAGGATGGTGGACCCTTGTGCAAAAAATAAACGGGGGGAGAGAGGAGGATGGAATTTCAAAAGCACATGCGCCCTCCGGCGCCCAAACCCTGGGGGCCCAGGGAAGGGCTCTGGGGCACCCGAATTTCCCTGTGGGTTTTTTCTCCTCTTTACCCCCCACATGCCCCGTCCTCATATCATAGAGTTCAACTCACTCATTTGACAGATGGCAAAAAGCCGCAAAGAGTTGTGAGGGACCCAGTGCCAGCCTTGTCCCCACTCCCTTTGGCCTGTGTGCCCCATCCGAGGGTGGACTGAGCTGACCCCACAGAGCTCCCCATTGCTGCTAACCCCCCTCAGGGGACCTCCCCCAACCCTTACAAGGAAGCGGGGTCTGGGCCAAGCCTACTACTGCCCCCTCCCACCTCTGGTTGCCAAGAAAACCGCCTGCCCTCAGCCCTTTCTGCTAGGACCCCATGGGAGCTACCCTGAGAACTCTTGACCTCCTGCCAACAAAAAGTGAGGATTTGGGATTCTCTGGACCCAGCCCCCTGCCCGCTTCTTCCTCTCCCAGAATTCTCCAGACAGGAAAGAACAGAAAGAGACTAGAAACTCCAGGGGTAGGGGTGTGTGTTTGTGGGGCGGGGGTGGGGGGGCAGGTTTTCCAGCACCAGCCAGAGCACGTTGATTGGGAAATTACCTCCCTCTTTTCCCAGAGAACTTACTCATCCCCCAGAACTCAGCACAAATATCTCCTCCTGTAGAAAATCATCACTGTTCCCCCTCAGGACTCCCCACCCTTTGCCCCAGAAGCAGTGGGACTGGGGGTGTTGGTGACCGGCTCTGTCTTCTCCAGGCTGGGGTCAGGCCTCCCAAGGCCCAGGCAGGCTGTTGGGCCAGGGATGACAGCGAGGCATGCCTGGTTGAATTATGTCTTGTGGAACATCTGTGTGTGCCCACGCATCCACACGTGTGTCTGTCCATGACCATCCCTGTCAACCTTCACTCCAACACAGATCTGGGCACACAGGAGGTGTTTGAGCCCGACTGTGGCCGAGTCACAAGACAGAGTGAAGGGGGGATGTGGGCGAGACGGGAGGAAACCAGGGAGTTGGAAGGGTTTGAAATCAGGAGCAACAAGGCTCAGAGAGGAGCAGGACTTTCCCCAAAGGCCACCCAGCAAGTGTATTTAGTGCCCAAGCTTGGAGGATCCCGCTAGGCTTCTGCCACCTCACCTGGGGTGACCAGGGTTCTTAGCCCTGATGGGGTTGCATTGACCTTGCTTCATGCCAAGATATGGCCCAAGTTTTCCATGGATCAGGAAGAAGATGAAGTAGGGTGGGCCTCTGACGAGGTAGAGAGGTGGACCAGAGGGACATCTTGGGCAGAGCCAGTCCCCTCCCCAAGAGGGACAGATGCAGAGTAAGGACAGAGACCAAGAGAAGGAGGGAGAGAGAAGGCAGATCGGGAAAGTGAGATCACAGCCCCATGGGGACAGAGAGAGACCTTGAGGTGGAGAGAGACTCAGAGAGGGGGAGCTGCAGAGACAGAGAGAGGAGAGAAGGCAAAACTGGTGACCTGGAAGGAGAAGGGGCCGACTCCCTGGCTCTCCCCAGTCTCACCTAGAAGGGTTTACCTACAAGGAGGAGGTACCTGGCCATGTCCCCTATACTCTCAGACTCAGGCACCAGAGCCTGCAACCTCACGAGCCCCCATCAGAGATGCAATAATACTTAACACACAACTAGAAATCCTTGGGGCCTCTCTGCTGGGATCTCAGAGACCTTTTTGTCCCCAACGTCCGGCCCCAGCACTGTCCATCTTGCAGATGGGGACGCCGAGGGGCGGGACCGCAGGAGCATCCCAGAGTCACCCCAAACTCTGCTGTCTGGATGCGGGGGAAGGGGAGCTCTCTGGGGACTTGGTTTGTATCCCGACCCTGAATGTCCCCTGAACATGCTTTCCTAAGAATTGTCAAGGACCAAAGTCGTCTTCGCTGACACGTGTTGCTTTTCTCTTTGCCTTTTATTTTTTTAAAAGAGAGAAATCCAGTTGATGGTGTTGAGTAAGACCTCCTCCCCCCCGCTCCGCCCCCCCATCCCCTCACCCCTGCCCAGCCATAGTGACTCCAGGCTGGGTCACAGGTGTAGGATTCTCTGTGCATCCCCGCCACACAGGTGGGTGCAGGGGGGTTCAGACCCACCCCTGGCCCCGCCCCTCAGACCCTGAAACCTGCCAGGGAGGTCTTCCTCTACACGTCTCCTCTCAGCATGTAATTGCAAATGTGAAATCAAAACACTTTTAACTCCATCCTGTCGGTCTAGCATCGTCACAGATGCCCCCATTTCTCTGTAAATACGTGACTTGGAACAAATGTTTAAAACCCATGAAAAGTGGTCATGAATGCATGATGTGGAGATGTTTTGCACTATTCTGATTTTTTGGTCTCTGTAAAAATATTTTATTAACAGCAGATATTAAAAAAAGAAAAAGCACCCCGCCCCGGACGCATGGTGATGGCTTTGCATTCCCAGAAACACAGAAATGCGCACGTAGCCTTTTCTATGGGCAGGTGCTGCTGCAGCATTGCCCACTTCACAGGGCAGGAAAAGGGGTGGAGTCAGGACGCGAACCCCGACATTGGGCAGCTGTTGCTCTTAGTTCAAGCAAGTTAGAACACAAAAGCCAGGGACACCCTCCCCCCAATTCAGCCCAGAGCCCCATGTTTGGGATTTTGTTTTGTTTTGATGTAGCAGGTGAGAATCTCATTTTATTTAATCTCATTTTATTTGTTTTATTTTATTTATTTAATCTCAAAGAACAGAAACTTCCTTTTCCTACAGCTAAACTGAATTTCTGCTTTGAGCCTTTATCTCATCAGGGAGCAGAAACTGAGTCTCATTCAGCTCAGATTCCCTCGGTAAATTCAGGGACTCCCCTCCTAAGATCTGGGCTACTTCTGTGTTTGAGTGGCCAGAGCCCGGCCATGGGATTCACCATCGGGAATGGGTTTCATGAATGCTTTTAGTTGCAAATAAAATAAAAAAAAGGGCTAGCCCTAGCCGGTTTGGCTCAGTGGATAGAGCGTCAGCCTGTGGATTGAAGGGTCCTGGGTACAATTCCGGTCAAGGGCACGTACCTCAGTTGCAGTCTCCACCTGGCCCAGGCCCTGGCCGGGGTGCGTGCAGGAGGCAACCAATCGATGTGTTTCTCTCACATCAATATTTCTCCCTGTCTTTCCCTCTCTCTTCTACTCTCTGTAAAAATCAATGGGAAAATATCAGGTGAGGATTTAAAAAAAAGGGGGGGTGGTGCTAAAAGTGGAACAAAGAGTGGCTAAACCACAGGGGTTACCCATAACTCAGCCTTTCCACCCCCAAGACTTACACGTGGGCAACAAGACGGAAAGCACCCTCAGTGTGGTCTTTTCACACGGGAATATTATGCAGCTGTAAACGTGTCTGCATGATGTCGAAAGGGCCAGCCCGCCGGGGGCCCCGAGTGTCCCCAAACATTCTTGGTGACAGTGCCAGACTGAAGACCTTATCTCTTCCCCAAGACCCAGCAGTTTCCATAGCAACACAGGTGGGCCATGCAGCATTGGGTAACTGCTCACTCCCTGATGGGGGAGCTGGCTTGTTTGCTGCTTGCTACAAGCCATGCTCAGCCTTTGGCCCTGTGTCCCTCAGTATGTGGGGTCCGTCATGTCACCCACGGGGCTCGAAGACCGAGGAGCATGCTGCTTGCTGTGCTGTGAGAAACATTCATTTGCAACTACAAGCATCTTGTGCTGAGTCTCAGAGTTGCACCTCTGGACCGGGAACAGGTGTACTTCTGCCCTTCTCCATGGGTAAGGTTTTTCTCTGACAAATGACACAAGTGAATCTTAGAAATGTGACGTTGAGTGATAGGCATCAGAAAACATGACACCACATTTGTAAAGCTCAAAGACTTGCTATATATATTTATACCCACAAGATACACCCACAGAGATATAACTTAATGATACATAAATGTGATTAATAAAAAACAATAAGCATGGAACTAAGGATTAAAAAATTGAGGACTCCACTTCAGACCCATCAGGATAGCTACTATTTTTTAAAAAGTGTTAGCAAGGCCCAGCTGGTGTGGCTCAGTGGTTGAGCGTCAACTTATGAACCAGGAGGTCACGGTTGGATTCCCAGTCAGGGCACATGCCCGGGTTGCAGGTTGGATCCCCAGTAGGGGGCGTGCAGGAGACGGCCAGTGGATGATTCTCTCTCATCATTGATGTTTCTCTCTCTCTCCCCCTCTGCCTTCCTTGCTCTGAAATCAATTACATATTAAAATCAAAAACATTAAAAAAAAATAAAGAGTGCTAGCAAGGATGTGGAGAAATTGGAACCCTTGTGAACTGTACGTGGGAATGTAAAATGGTGCGGCTGCTGTGGAAAACAGTATGGAGGTTCCTCAAAAAATTTAAAAAAGAATTACCATGTGACCCAGCAATTCTACTTCTGGATATATGTATCTGAAAAAAATGAAAGCAGCGTCTCAAA